AGGGTATCAAAAAGTTCAAGGCCATCAGGGTACAGTGGGTTAATGGGTGGTTCAAACAGCAGCACACTGTCTTGTTTCACGTAAGGCACTTTTACCAGACACTGAATTTGCATAACGGTGTGCTTCCGTATTTTTACAGGCTCCTACATGGTTCTTAATATGTACTCGCTGAGGCCCTCTGCAGTCACCAAACTGATGAAGGTATGTACACTTTTCTTCTTTATGCTAGGGAAAGCATTCCTGACAGTTCTGTACAAACACGCATAAGTCACATCATGAGATCCATTTGTTTCATTCCGTCTCATTATTTGTTCTATCACGTTATACCCAATTATAGGTCTGGATCATTCTTGGTTCTTCAAGACAAGCACAGGAATTTTTAACTCTTTCTCATTGGTTACAGGGGATGCCAGCTTGAAGGTCAATTCCACCCATCCACTGTATGGCATGTTTGTTCCATTGGCTGCCACCAGACGCAGACTGTCTGGCGCTTCTGTTGCCTCAGAAATGTTTCTCATTGTCACCTCAGGTGTGCATGTGGCTTTCCACTGCTCATCTATAATGCATACTTGGGAGCCTGTGTCCCATAATACTTCTGTCTTTTTCACAAGGCATTGTTTGCCCACTAAGGACGTGACGGCAGAATGCTGGTTAACTTGACAAGGGGCAGTTAAATACTATCAAGGGACTGGGACTCAAGCTGTCTCTGATGACCCATGCTACATTTCTCATGTTTTTGGGACTTCCCTACTTCTCGGATCACACCCTGTCCCTTGGGGGCAACCCACTCCTGTTTAACGGAGCTCCTATCTGAGGTCTGGCACCTTTGCTCCTACAGCCAGCTGAGAAGTGCTCGCTGCTGCCACAGTGGTAACAATGGTTGCAAGGTTCTTCTGCTTTGCACTGCTGGCAATGGAAACATTGTCTGGCTTGTGAGGGACGGGGCTGGCGGAACTGATGAGGGTGCTGTTGTGGTGGCACCATATACTGCTGGGGATAATACTGCGGTGCTGCAAAACTTGACGGCTGAGTTGCATAATTGATGGACATGGGATGCTGCTGAGGAGAAGGATACACACACGGCTGTCCATGGTGCGTTTCTGGTATTGAATAATGCTGACGCGGCTGGAGAGAATGTTCTTGTGGAACAGTGGACAACTGAACTGGGTTTTCAGGTGGAAGAGGTATTTTCTGTTCCCTCACCTGTTGTTGGCTTTGTGAGAACTGGTGTAGAGACATGTATGGACCTGCCTGCCGTTGATATATAGCTGTATCTGGTTTCCAGGTCTGATGCTCATGGACTTGGCTCCATCCTGATGTCTGTCGGGTACCCTGAGATGAGATCTGATGCTGTGGGGACACTGCTGCTGCTGGTTCTTTGTTATAGACTGCGAAACACTGCTGAGGAACAGATAAGGGTTGTTGGATTGTCTCTTTAATCTGGATGATATCATCACTCAGGCTTTTCATTCGTGAAATTAAATCAAACTTAGACTGTTTGGACTGAATTTTTGTTCAGGGGCAGGCTCGTTTATCTGTACAGCATGAACAGTACCACTTTTTTCATATTTTCGTCTGTTTTGCCTTTCAGACTCATTGGAACAAGCCACATTGAGTTTCTCCAGCAACACTTCATCTGGAACGGTGGGATCTGACAGGTATGGTTGAAGGTCACTTTGGATGTGGTCGTTTTGCAATTCAGTCAAGACTGTGTGCAAAAACATATTCTAAACTAGGGCAGGATCATATTTTAACCCTGAGTCATCCTCCTGAGAAGCAAACAGAATTTTCTGTCTAAGATCAAGGTCTCTTATTAGGAAGCTTTGTTGTGTTTCTCTAGAGCGTTGAGCTTCTGTGGTGAGCTGCTTATATAGTTCAGTAACATTTTTTTCCTGAAAATGAGAGCGAAGTATCTGTCTCAGCGTTGGGAGTGTCAACCCTGCCTTTCCCTCAAGATAGCTCCGCAGCTGAAGTCCTGGTGTGATAGCTCTGATGACAGAATCTACTATTTCCTGTTCTGCATAGCCCTTATTGAGTTCACCTTCTATCTGCTGTGCCAGACTGGAGAATGAGAGCCGGTCTTTCTGCCCTAGATCTCCTATTAGACCAGAAATCTTGAAGTCTTTCTGCCATGTTGGGGTAACTTGTCTCTGAAATGTGGGTGGAGAATAAACTTGGCCATGGTCTACATATGTATGTCTGTTTGCTGCATTCTGTGGTGTGGTGGGACTAATATGCATGGCAGAAAACAATTCAGCTGCACTTTTTCTACTTTCTTGCATTGCCCTCTGGACTGTGTTAACATCTCCAGGTTTATTTTCCTCTTTATCTGTACCCTGTTCAGAAGCCTTAATTGTGATTCCCATGAGCTGACTCAGTTTATCATTAATTGTTAAAAGTTCAGCCATGCCGTCATCTTCTAACTCCTCTAGCTCAGTTCTCAGTAGATAGTTACTAATGGCGCTTTTCCACTGCGTGGTATGACTCGGCTCGGCACGGCTCAGTACGGCATGGCACGGTTCGGCTCGGCACAGTTTGCGTTTCCACTGCAGTTCAGTACCGCTTTAGAGTGGGCGGGATTATTCACATGTCGTTATAGTTGCGCCACCTCTACTACCACGACTCCTAAAAAAAATGTTTTCATTCCGCGTCGCCCCATCAAGCTCTCGATGGATCCGCTCCTCTGCTATCGAGAGGAACGTCTGTTCTTCCGCAACAGACAACAAAGCTTTTTGGTTGTTAAAAAAAGGTGCGCTCGTTCAAAACAGTTGCGTTCGATCCTTCGCTGGCTGTGCTGATTTAAAAAGTTCAGTGACGCAGGTAGTGACGATTCTTCTTATGGCGCAGGAAAAGCGCCATAAGAAGGCTCAACAGGGACAAACGAGTCAAATTTGTCTCATCCTCTTGTGTCAGGTCAAGAAAGACACTGAGTTTTGTTAGCTTTTCATGTGATAGTGTGCAGAATTTCTCACCAATTTCATCCTGAAGATGTTTAAGCTCATCCATTTTAGCTGCTGTGTAGACAGGCCGTTGAGAGTAGTGTTTACCTTACTGACTTGACCTTGCTGCAACTGGTAACAAACTGAACCTCCAGCACATGCACTGCTCAATTAGATTTTTTTTCACCACTCGTCCTGAATGTCTCACACTGCAGATCATCTGGGTCACTAATAAGGGGATGATGTTGTTAAATGGGCTCTACTGGTCAGGGAGTTACTCCATCAAACATCAATCCCAGCCGTGACTCCAAAATTGTAGTACTCCTGTAAAGGATGATATGAAATGAATAAGCGTTCAAGCTATGCTTCTTCACCGATGCTTTACCATGAATGAAGCTTATCGCGAGAACTCCCTCTACAAACGCACGCAATGGCACGCACATTTCCGTTCAACCAATCACACACATCCATCTCCAGCTATAATAATATAACATTAATTTGAAGCAATAACTCTTAGGATAAATCCCAAAATAGTTGTAACATGTATTTTGATTAACACAGTAATTATACTAATTATAGAAATCAAATATAAAGTTGTAAATAATCCCTTAAAGGAGAAACACATAAGAAAATGGATAGTGATAATTATGAAACATATCACAAGAAATATATACATATAGGAAGAATAAACTGATAATGATTATAATTATGAGAATTATTCAGTATACCACAAAACGTCCCAGGTTACGTATGTAACCATGGTTCCCCGAGGGAACGAGACGCTGCGTCGGAAAACACTAGGGGAATGCCTTCAGCGATACCAAGCTCTGAATCATATGTGTAATCAGTCGAACGATGGGCGAGACGTCCGCGGCGGGTGACGTCATGACCAGGAAGCTTTAAAAGCACGTGAGGTGCCACCGGCGCTAGCTTCTTAGGAGTGAAGCAAGCTCTAGTAGGGATGCCGGAAGTATGGCCTTGCGACGCAGCGTATACTTCCGGCGTATACTTCCTCGGGGAACCATGGTTACATACGTAACCTGGGACGTTCCCCTTCGGGAACTCGAGCTGCGTCGGAAAACGCTAGGGGAACGAGATGTCCACGCCGCCAGACTTGCAAATCCCTGCCTGGTGTGAAAGGGCACGGCTATGGCAAGAGAACA